TTAATAATTTATTAATTATATTATATGGTTATTAAATTAAAATACATATGATACGTACTCAACACACACACACACACACAACACACACACACACACACACGCACACACAGCCACACGTACCACGCACGCACGCACGCACACACCACACACCACACACACACACCACACACACGCGCAACCACACCACACACACACACACACACACACACACACACACACACACACAACACACACACACACACAACATATTATATTAATATGAATAATATGTACGCGGTAGTCGGTCGCCTAGCACGCGGCAGCAAGTGCTTGCCGCGCGCTCTTACGCTAATCGCTGCGTTTTAAGATGTCGTACATGTGTAATATCGTAACCTGCACGGGAAATTAGCGTGAGGGGCGCGAAACTTATTAGCGAAATTAATTTAAAGCGTCTTCTTGTTGACGCGAATACTATAGTAAGTTGCGTATAGAATTCATAGTGCAAGCCGGGTCGAATATCACTCTCATGTATAATCGATATTCATATATATATATATATATATATATATGAATAATATGTACGTTTACGGGGGTTAACGAGCTAAATTACCTAACTTTGTTTGAAAGAATCATGATGGGGATTACATTGTGTCCCGCACGTATATGTACGCTGTAATATGTCCTACATGAGCCGTATTGTTACTCTATATGTTTGTAGGTAATTACGTGATGAGTAATAATCAGCGATAATCTGCCAAGGCAGTGTCACCCGATCCTTGCAGTTTCTCGTGATTAGGACGAGTCGAAACACATAAGTTAGTTTTCCCCGTTAAGCGCGTCAAAACCCTAACAATCATACACAGTGTCATAATTAATAATACGAAAATCGCACGGTGAAGAGCGTGTTACAATGCACTCGAATATATTCTTAATTATCGTCAACGATTTAAATAATTATTTTATTTGATACAGTTTTCTTTAAGAAACGTCATAAACTCAGGTAATTTAAATATGTATGTTTGTTCCTAAAATCAGAGGATCCGTGTTCTCTAAAACGTGTACAAGCTCATATTATTGGGTGTGGAAAAAATCAAATACTATACAGATTTCACAAGAATAAACAGTTCTAAAATGACGTGAATAGTACCGTGCTAGTCAAGAACGGTAACGCATTAATTGAGAAATCAACAAAAAAAGCGTTAAAAAAGACACTTCTGTCGACGAAATTATTTCGCCTAAAATTTTTCTTTCCTTTATGCGAATATAATACACGGCGAATATAAGCACGATATATATACACTCTTTGCTGTTTCAGAGTTTCTTAAATTATCCCATTTCCTGCCATAAACTGGACGCAACGGTTTTTCAATACATGCTTAAGAATAATTCGACTATCCCGAGAACAGGTGGCCCTTGGATTCAAAGGGGGATATCAAGCAGAACAGGACAACTGGAACAAAAAATTTTGCTTCTGAAATGACGGCGAAATGGATATTCCTTTAAGCCTACCAACGGAAATACAAGCGTAGTGAGTTTTAAATGCATCGCAATTAGAGGCAAGATTGTCAGTTGACTGTGATCGGCGTTCACAAACGGTCCGCGCGCGCTCATATCTGCACTACCTTGTATGACGAATCCAGAGAGATCGTCTGCGCACATAACATAGATGACGTGCTACTCAAACTCAAAAAACAACACGCGCGTGAATTGATTATAACCGCTAGCCAGCAGCGTGGAGATGTGGATAGAACCAGGTTTCGGCGCCCATTCGATATTTTTATTAAAACCTAACGCGCATTTCAACTATGTTTAGCCGCCTGGTGGCGTGTGCTTTCACGTGTGGAAATGGTCGACAATAAGCGAACGTTATGAAAGCTACTGAATATATAATTATAACATATTTACAAAAGCGCCTGTGTTGAAATTTTGACAAAAGCTAGAAAACTGTTGCCCAAGAGGACGTTTGCTGTTAACATGTGTGCCTTTACACAGGACAGTTTTCAAATTTAATTGGTAAGCCTTGTGGCCACAAAGGCTCCGGAGTACACAACGACGGGTATATACGTTTGTCGCGTCTAAATTTATGGGTGCCACATTACAGATGTTGCTTTATTAAAATCAAATGCCTACTACGCATCATAATAGCAGCTATCGGTGAGCATGGCAAATAGCCGGCGGTCTGTGTACGTTTCTCAGCGCTGCGCAGCGAAACCGCGGCAAACCCACTTAGAGCACAAAGGCTCTACAAATGGTTCGCCAACGAGCTATAAGCTATAATATATATATATATATATACATATAGTGGAAGAGAAAGAGAGAACGAGAGAGAGAGAGAGAGAGAGAGAGAGAGAGAGAGAGAGAGAGAGAGAGAGAGAGAGAGAGAGAGAGAGAGAGAGAGAGAGAGAGAGAGAGAGAGAGAGAGAGAGAGAGAGAGAGAGAGAGAGAGAGAGAGAGAGAGAGAGAGAGAGA